TCGGCTGAGGGCTGACAAGCTGCCGAGCCCAAATCACTGTGGGAGTCGTGATTTCTTGTTGGTTTTCAGAATCTATCTCTCTCACTCTCCGATACGTCGCAGTCCTTGCTCCAAGCGCTTTCGTTTCGGCGGTAGTGTTCTGATCACCCGAATGCCACGTTCGGATCGCTCCTCATCGCAAACCCTGTCAGCAGTTCACCCTCGGGTTTGTTCGTTAGAACCACATACTCGATGTATGTATGTAGGAAGGTGAAGAACAGCCAGGCTCGGACTGGACACCAACGCGGTATGGGTGGACGCTGGACAGATGATGACGACACGCACGAGCGACACACAGACACAAACAAGCTCACAAGACACACAGCCAGCTGGCTGCCACACACCCTGAGTTGGCGTACACATAACTCAGGTCCACATTCTCCCTGTCGCCCCCCCCACCCACCCAGCCAGCAGCAGCACTCGAACCAAGGTGCCAAGAGAATAAACAAGGGCACAACAAGACAACAGGCGGACAGGAAGTAACATGTGATGCTTGAGCAGGCTTGCTCCGCCTCTAGCAATCTCGCCGCATGGGGCGGAGACCGTGTGAGGGTGTAAGGTCAAACTCGACTCGTAAAAAAAACAAACCGCGGGCCGCATGCGCTCCTGTCGACGCCTCTCGACGCTCTCCTCTCCGTGGAGGTCGCTCGGCGTGCGCTCCGAGCTCGTCGACGCCGTCGCTGCGCAGGGCCTCGCCGCGCCCTCGCCCATCCAGCAGCTCGCCATTCCGCGCTTGCTCGCCGGCGCGTCGGTGGCGATGGCCTCCTCGACAGGCTCTGGCAAGACGCTTGCGTACCTGGTGCCGATGATGCAGCGGCTCAAGGAGCAGGAGGACGCGCGGCCCGAGCACAAGGCCGAGCTCCGGCCTCGCGCGCTCGTGCTCGCGCCGACACGCGACTTGGTCGAGCAGATTGCCGCGCAGGCCAAGGCGCTCTCGCACGTGTGCCGCGTGCGCGTGCGAGCGCTCGCGGCGGGAGGGCGGCTGAGAGACCAGCGCAAGTCGCTGCGCACGGGCGCCGATCTAATCGTCGCGACGCCGGGCCGGCTCCTCACGCTGCACAAGTTGGGCGACGTGTCGCTCCGGTCGGTCGAGTCGGTCACGGTCGACGAGGAGACGAGAGACGCAGCCTGCGGATGGGCGGGCGGGACCGGGCATGGACGGGCTGGCCGTGGGCTCCTAGGCAGACGACGTGCTGCTGCGCGGCTTCGACGAGGAGCTCGACGCCATCCTGCGGCGCTGCAGCCCGCCGCGACGCCGCGCTGGCGACGAGGCGGCCTCCTCCGCCCCCTCGCCGCGCCAGTCTCTCCTTCTCCGTCTTGAGCGCGCCCTCTCTCCACACCGCGACTCAGGGCGAGGCCGACGAGGCGGGCGGCGCCGGCGGCCGGGCTGGGCGTGTGCAAGTCGCGCTGGCGAGCGCGACGCTGTCGGCCGAGGCGCGGCAGCGCGAGCGGCGGTGAGGGACGGTGACCAGTGTCCATGGTGAGTGGTTGAGTGCTGAGCCAGGCGCGGCACGCCATCGGCAAGGGCTTCCCGCGCGCGGAGCTGCTCTTCACGCCCTGCGCGCACCGCGCTCCGCCCTCGCTCACGCACCGGCGGCCGGCTGGAGAGGGCGAACGGCACGCGAGGCACGACCTTTCCGGGACCCGTCCCTCGCGCGTGTGCTGTCTATAGGCTGCTGCATGTGGAGGGCGACAAGATGGAGGCGCTCGCGCGGCGAGGCAACCCGCCCGAGCTCGCCCCGAGGTCACGCGAGCTCCCTCCCGAGCTCAGGTGCTCGCGCAGCGCGTGAAGCAGCTGGGCGCAGACACGCCCGCTCTCATCTTTTGCCGCGGCATCCGTGCGGCGCCGTCGGGGAGGGGAGGAGGGCGTCGCTTCACGGCTCGAGGTGTGAGCAGGCATCCAGTCCGCGCGCGCCGTCGGCAAGTCCCTCTCCGACGCGGGGCTCTCTGTCGCCGGCTGCCACGGAGGGATGCCTCCGGACGCGCGCGCAGAGGCGAGGGGCGCCTTCAGCGACGGGCGGCAGAGCGTGCTCGTGGCGACCGACCTGGCGGCGAGGGGGCTGCACTTCCCGCGCGTCAAGGCCCTCGCC